CGTACGATTTACTTGCGGTCTGGAATGAAAGTGAATAACAGGCCGTGCGCAATAGAATGAAACGACACGAAATGATTCCATGGTATTGGACTCCGTTTCTTTTTAAATTTGCATCTCGAGATAGCAATGGTTTCCTTACAGGATTAACATTCATACATTTGATCTGGGTAACAGGCCAATTAGGGAACAACTGGCCCGCAAAAACCGTGTATTTCTTGTTATTGGATGACACACGTTGCCAGGTGGAATGAAGGAAAAGGAGACAGGGGACGCCGAGGCAATTTCAGTTCAGTTCTTACAACCATTAACCATGCATTTTCGTGCGCCGGTTTTGGTTGCCCATTTGGATAAAACATCGGAATGATGATTACAATGTTGAGGGCAGATTAAAGCGGAAGATAGTGCATTCATATAGACTGAAGTTACAAGGATAATGAAGAGATGCATGAGCGCCACTGTTTGCGACACCCAGCCGTATCGCTCAGTGTCTCTAAACATCGGTGACCGGCAAAGAAGTGGTACACTAACTCACTCGTCTGATGCGGTTTCCATTTCCTTTGGTAATTTCGCTTCTTCGTCTGACTGTGTCACGTTATCATAATCTGAGCCCGGCTGTGCCAAATCCTCACCGCCGATGGAAGGAGATTTGTCAGGAGGCAGATGGTCACCGTAATCTGAATTGATCATTTCAGACGGGGACCCGGAGGGTGCAATGCTATTCAACAGGGACGGCGATTCCGTCGAGCGAGTCTCATCCGTGGTTGCCCGCACACCCAGCTGCGGTGAGCACACTTGGTTCCAAGTTTTGGGTGGAACCTACAACAGTAAACAAAAATTATGAGGATTCTATGAATGAAACAAGATAAAACGACTGGCAAGTGGATCATATAAAGAGGTTCTAACCCGATTAGGTTCGTGAAAATTTCAATAAAAACAAGGATCCGGTATTAGTTCGCCATCTATCAGTTTCAGTTTGAACAACCATTAACCATGCACTTTCGTGCGCCCGCTTTGGTTGCTGTCTTTCGGCAGACCATTGGGATGAAGAATAGGAAAGGAAAGTTGAAAGTGGATTTAAAAAGAAAATGGAGAGGTTCAGTGGTCTAAGGTTGCACGAACGCCATTGTTTACGAC